TGCGAGAAGTGAAACGATAATAGTAGCGCGGCTACAGGGAATTGTGGACGAAGGAACACCTGTTATGATGGAGCCTTGGAATCATGACGACGAAGTTGGCCGTGGAATCATAATTGGAAAAGAATTAGTGACTTCGGCTAAAGAAATTCCTGTGAGACTTATTAATGTCAATGACTACCCAGTGACCATCAAGAAAGAGACAAAAGTAGGAACTTGTGTACCTGTCACATCCATAATCCGTCAGACGACAACGTCTGATAATTCCAACGATAAATTTGATCAAATGGTTGCGGTTGCTGGACAGTCTCTGAATCAGATTGAGAAAAGGAAATTAAGGGAATTTCTTCGGCAGTATCGTGATATTTTCGTACCGAAAGGAGGAAAGACGGAAGAACTACCGTCGTTAAGCATAAAATTGATACTGGTAATGCTAAGCCAATTCGTCAAACAGCTCGACGATTACCACAGGCGAAAAGAGAGGAAGCTGAAACGATTGTTCAGGAAATGAAGAAAGACGGGGTGATAGAACCTTCTACGAGCCCATGGGTCTCTCCGGTGCTCCTGGTTAAGAAGAAAGACGGAACAACGAGGTTCTGTGTGGATTACCGTTTGCTGAACAACGTTACCAAGAAAGATAGTTATCCTCTGCCTCGGATCGATGACACATTAGACACATTGGCTGGAAGTAAATTATTTTCTACTTTGGATTTGAAGTCTGGATACTGGCAGGTAGAAATGGACCCGGTAGATAAAGAAAAGACAGCCTTCACCACAGGATCTGGATTATGGCAATTCAACGTTATGCCATTTGGACTTTGTAACGCTCCTGCGACATTTGAGAGGCTTATGGAAAATGTGTTGAGAGGGTTATCTTGGAAAACATGCCTAGTTTATCTAGACGACATAATCGTCTTGGGGGAGACATTTGAAGACCATCTGAAGAATTTAGAAAACGTTTTTAATCGACTTAAAGCTGCCCAATTGATGTTAAACCCCAAGAAGTGCCAGCTATTTCAAGGTAAAGTCAATTATCTGGGTCATATAGTCAGTAAAGAAGGAGTGGCCGTGGATAAGGGAAAAATCGATTCTATTAAGGAATGGCCAAAACCAACTGACAAACATCAAGTGAGAAGTTTTCTGGGACTGTGTACTTACTACCGGAGGTTTATTAAGAAGTTTGCAGATATCGCTAAACCATTAACGCGACTTACAGAGGAAGCAAGAGAATACCGCTGGGATGTAGACTGCCAGAATGCCTTTGAAACCTTAAAAAAGCATTTAATCACAGCACCAATTTTAGGGTATCCACTGCCAGAAGGAGAGTTCATCTTAGATACAGATGCAAGTAATGTGGGAATTGGAGGAGTGCTGTCTCAGATTCAAGGAGGACAGGAAAGAGTCCTTGGATATTTTAGTAAAGTTCTCTCAAAACCTGAGCGAAATTATTGCGTCACGAGAAGAGAACTTCTGGCAGTAGTGAAATCAGTAGAGCACTTCTATCAATACCTCTATGGAAGGAAGTTTTTAATCCGAACCGACCATGCCGCCCTTAAGTGGTTGATGCAGTTTAAGAATCCAGAGGGTCAGATAGCCAGGTGGATCGAACGACTCCAAGAATATGATTTTAAGATTGAGCACCGGGCCGGAGTTAGCCACCGAAACGCCGACTCTCTTTCCAGAAGGCCATGCCCAGCAGAGTGTTCTCACTGCAACAAAACGGAATCCAAGGAAGCAGCAGTGCTAAGAACGACGGTGGTCCACGACGACTGGACGCCTACCAAGATCAGGGAAGAACAAGAGAGAGATTCAGTTATACAGAAAATCCGAAAATGGAAAGAGGAAAACCGTCGACCACCTTGGCAAGAAATATCGAACCTAGGCTCAATAGTTAAGACGTATTGGGCCCAGTGGGACTCATTTATCATGGAAGATGGCTTGCTCAAACGAGTCCTGGAAAATGATGACGGTTCAGAGAAGAGAAGACAGTTGGTGATTCCAAAGAGCAGAATAGCCGAAGTACTTCGTCAGTTACACGACAGTCCATCAGGAGGGCATTTTGGTGTGAAAAAGACCCTTCAGCGAATTCGGGAACGGTTTTATTGGATGAACAGTTCCGACGATGTAAAAGACTGGTGTAAGAAATGTACTATTTGTGCTACGAGTAACGGGCCTTATCGAAAAAGGAGAGCTCCTATGAGACAATATAATGTTGGAAGCCCGTTTGAAAGAATAGCTTTGGACATTGCTGGGCCATTTCCAGAAAGTGATAATGGAGGCAAGTACATGTTGGTAGTAATGGATTACTTCACTAAGTGGGTCGAGATTTACGCACTTCCAGACCAGAAGGCCGCCACCGTTGCAGATAAGTTGATCCAAGAATATATCAGCCGATTTGGAGTGCCTTTGGAGATCCATAGTGACCAAGGCAGGAACTTCGAAAGCGATTTATTCCAAGGAATATGTGATAGACTAGGTATGAAGAAAACAAGAACTACGGCTTATCATCCGCAATCGGATGGTATGGTAGAAAGAATGAATAGAACAGTTGGCAAGTATTTGACAAAGATGGTGTCCGATCATCAGCGAGATTGGGACCAATATCTTCCGTTCTTCACAATGGCCTACAGATCTGCTGTTAATGAATCAACAGGCCAGACACCAGCCAGAGTCCTATTCGGACGCGAGATGCGACTACCTTGTGATCTAGAGTTTGGGTGTCGACCTGGAGAAGATGTAGCAGGTGAAGATTATGTGATCGAATTACGAAGAAGAATGGACGATGTACACGAGTTGGTCCGTTCCCATCTCCAAATCGCTAGTGACCGAATGAAGAAACGGTACGATACACAAGCCGAAAAGGGGTGTTTTAAGAAGAACGATAAAGTCTGGCTTTATAACCCCAAAAAGCGAAAAGGTTGTTCTCCCAAATTGCAGCAGTTTTGGGAAGGTCCATACCTCATTATGGAGAAGATCAATGATGTTATTTACCGAATAAGCAAGATTCCGAGAGGAAAGCCGATGATAGTACACCATAACCGGTTGGCGTCTTTCGAGGGTGACCACGACGTAGATGAAGAAGTGGAAGTAAACCAAGTCCAAGATGTGTCTGACCTCACGTTTGAGGAATTCATGGGTGCCTATGGAGGTACCGGTAAAGCAAGACATGGTGTTACCACTGAAGAAAGGCAAGATCTACTCGCGCTTCCCGATGACTACTCACTGGCCCTTACCATCCCGGCCAGTATCAAAGATGCACCAGGGTTGGCATCCGTCTTTCGAAGGAAGTTTGGTCGAGTTGCAGAACTTCAATGCCAAGTGCCAGCTCCTGGTAAAACCTTGAAACTTCAAGATGCATCACGTTACCTTTTCTACCTGGTAACAAAAGACACTGCCCGTGACCAACCTACCTACCGAGATGTATGGGAAGCCTTACTTCAGTTGAGAGAGCACGTACTAGAGTCCGACGTGCAAAAGTTAGCCATGCCAAAGTTGGAGTGCCGCCAATTAGATTGGAGGGTTATACGAAACATGGTGGAGGAAATCTTTAAAGACACCGAAGTCCAGGTGTTAGTCTGTTGCAATCCGCATAGTTACTGCTGCGGAGAGAAAACCGTCCCTTGTCATTTCTATACAACTGGAAGTTGTAAAAGAGGGTCCAGTTGCCGATATCAGCATGTCATTCCAGTTCCAGTCCCGACAAGGTTCCAGGAGGAACCATCTTTTAAGAGGGGGGCAATGTTACGATTTTAAATGTTATGGCATATAGAACTGTAAATATTTTATGACTAATTCTTTTTTTATTGATTCTCGTAATTTGTAGGTCAAAATATACCTGAGCTTAGCTACCAGTTGTTTACCAGAAATCTCTAGACACTAATTTTGGTGAGTCATCCACGTCTCGAGGTTGAAAAACGAGTCGAGCGCCTTCACCAAAATACGAGACTATTCAAGAAGTCCGCCGAATTCTCTAGATGACACAGTTGTGTATATAAATGAAAGATTTTTATTTGGCAGGCAGTCATAAGAAGATCGGTAAACGCGGTTTACTTGTACGAAACGTGAAATAAATACATTTGTAAAAGTTATTTAATAAATTAGTAATTAGCTATCGTGAGTTTTAATAAATTAGATTATAGACAATAAATTAGAATAAAGACAAATAAATTAGAACTATATAAATATACAACAATAACCCAATAGCCAGGATTTTGACAGAGGTTGTGGCAAATTATACGTTTTGTGTAAAAATTATCAGCTTTTCAGATATGTACAAATATTTTATCTAAGAGTAACAATTTAAAAGTTATTCTAATTGTTTATAAGTTTAAAACTGTTTCTTTTTGATTGCGTAAGTACTTTGTTTAAAATTACACAACTTCAGCTTCAAATTCCACTCAATATCTCAGTTTTTTAGAAATATTTAAAATGTCTCATTTTTGTTATCAAAATCGAAATTTCATGTTATAGGTTTTGAAGATTAGGCTCTAAAAAGTGGAAATTCCACAGCGACCGGTCAGTGGAGGTGATAAATTTTATTGATCTCACGAGAATCATAAAAAATGGCAAATATCGTAAAATCGACATTCTCTTGTTGTTGTTCAGACAAGAGTTGTTCTGAGAGAACGGTTCATTTTACACAAAAAGTACTAATAAATATTTTTGTTTAAAATTATTATTATCTCAGCCACATTTTTAACAAGTAGCAGTACAAGGGTAAAAGTGGTAAACTTTGTGCATCTTTTTTTAATCCAAAATTTAATATTCTCGGCAAAATTTAGCTTTTTCGTATGATTTGTAGAGGTTCAGTGGCATTTTCGTCTCTGACGACTAGAGTAATGAATAAATACTTAATGCCCTTTTTTGTATTAGATAAAATAATTAAACAAATTTCTTCTTTGCTTCGACTATTTACTGTTACTACTTTTTGTAATCAATCTTTCCAACGGCTTGTTCAAAAATACAGCACAACTGGTTAAGGAATAAAAATAAAAGAAACGAATATCATATAAATATTTATTTATTCTTCACTTATATCTACCTTACTTTCTACTTCATCTGAAACGACGATCACCTCGGGTTCTATTACAGCTGGTACCTCAGTTTCGACAACCGGCACCACCGGTTCTATCTTAACTGGTAACAAATGACTAATGGGGGAAATTATTTCTTGCTTATCTAAGAACGTTGTACCGCTTTCTTGCAGATTTTTTAAACTAATACCAAGTTTGGAAGCGATATGACTCGGAGGATATATAATATGTATACATTTTTGAACAAACGGAACGAGATCGTCTGAAAAACACATACATAACCTAGTAAAAGCGTCTTTGGAGTTTACAGAGAAAGCTTGCTGTTCTTGACTGTACAGTTTCTGTAAACATTTAGCTATGAGAAGCATGGATGCTTGGAGAGTATCTACGACTTCGTCTATAAGGGCTATCGGGGGACATAGTCGTAGCTGATTCAAAGCTGTCAGAATGTTATTAAGATATTCAGCCAACGGGTAGAATTCCAGTAAACTTTCTGGTGGTCTAACTGTATCTTCTTTGTTGAGCTTCCACGACTTGGATGGATTATTTTTATCAATTAGAGTAAATTTCTCGATATTCTTCATAAAACTTCTATCTGCCTTCGCCACATTGCTAACGAATCGTTTTTGGATGTGTTTTGTGAATATCGGGATAAGAAGATGCCTAAAGTCACATCCCACTTTACTAAAAGAATGTCCAAAATACATGCACTGATCCAAAATCATCTCAAATGACGTTACGTTATCCAAACAACTATCTAACGTTTTTACAAATATCCCGATCTGATACTGAACCCAACCTTTGAATATAAGAGGCTGATTTATTGATTTATCAGATGCTACAGATAACGGGCTACGTTCGTCGTCGTTAAAAATTGCGGAGTACTGAGTCAAAATGTTAAATAAATTGATTCTGGTCACTTCTATAGTTTTCGTCAAGTGAACTGTGGGGTCTTCTTTACCCAGTGAGTTCAACTGTTGCTCCAACCAATATGTTCTTGTTTGTAGGAATTTTAATCTGAGCTCTGGCTCTGAAACAATGTGAAAATCCACTTTAAAGAGAGAAATTAATGCTTAGTAAGGAAAGGATATCGACCGTTTTAGTCAATTTATAGAATTATTAGAGATACATCTACTTTTTAAATCTAAATATATCACAATAATTAAAAAAAAATAGTGGTAATTGCAATATTGTATTAAGTTACATCCATGAAAGAAAAGACACTAAAACAAACTTGTTTATTGTCTTGATAGTCTCTCATTTATAATTTCTATTCTAGTTTCATTGTAAAGTATTCTATTTGATAGATTATGAAGTGGGCTATCAAAATGGCGCATTCTAGTAATTAGCTAAAGACTTTCTGTTTAGTTTATATTATGTTTAGCAGGACCTTTACATTTATAGAAAATTGTAGAACCATATTCCATAATGGGTCTGCAAATTAGTTTATAACTATTGGCAGAAGTTTCAATAATTGATTCCCTCAATCTTGTATGTTAAGCTTCTAAATTGTTTTACTCTCGTTATAATATGTTTGCTCTTTTTATACCTATATGCTTTGTGGTAGTTAAAATTTAATCTGTTGCCCTATTTTAATTCACAAATACTTGATATATTGAAAGGGTTTAATAATATTGTTACATATCTTTATAGTCAGAGAGTGATCCTGGATTCTCACTATCCTATGCGTGCTTACATATTTGAGATTTATCAAATTCTCTATTTTTAATATAAGATTGATGTTCACTTATTCTAACATTTATTTGGTGTTTATTGAAAGTAAACTAAATGCACGACCAAATACTTAGCATGTCGGGATAGTATTATAAGGTTTTTTCCTGGTTTTTCCCTCATAATTTACTATGGAATCAGTAACAGGAGAATTTTACTCTCATCATGGCATGCCTCATTATTTGCCTTTTTAAAGACGAATTACATGCTATGATTTTTTCTGACGGATTTTCACAAGTTAAAGTATGTAATCGAATGAACGATCTTACAAGTAAAGTCGTCCCAGGAACGCAACTCAACAATATTGGCAATATCATTTTAAAGTCGTCTACTTTAAAATGTATAATGTACGTCTGAATTGTCAATATCAATGAGTCAGATAAAATTAAATTATTAGAAGAATTTTTCACCAGTAGCAAAAAAACAAAATTTGTTTAATTTACTAATATTTGTATTTTGAGAACGATTTCCGAAGTGGAAATTGAAACGTCAATAAACTACTTTAACCTTTAATTGTGGCGTATTCCCATTTAAATAGTAATTACTTCAAAATGCCACAGGAAAAAAGAGTTTATATTCTTACAAGCTAAGATCCATTTATGTTGTTTAAATGGTGATATAAGTTTGTGAATATTTTGAAGAGTGGAAGATTGTAATTAAAAGCGATTTCTTTTGCTTGGGTTCGTTTTCTATGATTAATTTAAACAATATAGAAATGAGATTTATTTTGTGAGAGTGCCAAGAACACGGTTTTGTTCCCATCCTAACTCCATGCTGTTTAATAGGTAAGAAGTGTCACTGGTCTTGCGCTTGTACGCCTTGCGGGAATAACTTATCTAGTGATAATTGATCAGTTATTCAGGGTTAAAAATTTTTAATTACTAATATGGCTACTAAAACATAGGTGTCAGCAAAAGAAGGGTGAAAATTAAGAGTTAAATTGTTTAATGCCACATCACAAAAAAAATAAAAAATTGGTTTGAATCACACCTAAAAAAAAAATTCGACCAATTCTCAGACCTACCGAATATACAGATAAAATTTTATCTGTAATGTGTTATCTGTACCTAAAGATCAGTCAAGCCGTTTCGGAGGAGCATGGCAACTAACTATGTGACACTAATATGGCTATTAAAAAATAGGGGTTGGTGATAAAGGGATGAAAATTAAGTGTTGTATGTACAATATCTTTTTTTGTACATATTGTTTAATGTCACATCATAAAAAATAAAAATAAAAAATTTTGTCCAAAAAATCAAAAAAACGTTTGGGGTGGACCACCTTTATCACATAGGGGTATGAAAAATATACTGCGCAGCATAAATTAGGGATATTGTCAATATAATGGTAATGGTATTTCATTCTGCATCAATTATTTGTAAGTAAACAATTAAAAATTATTAGTTTTTAGAAAACATGAAAATTAGAAAATTTATAAAGAGAATCACACAAAAAAAAAACATTATAAGTATTAACAAAGCATATGTATAGCCATTTCAAAATGACCTTTGTTCTCTCAAATCGGATAAACAAATATAATTGTTTAAAAACTACTTGACCGATTGTGAGCATATTTCGCAAATGTAGTAACTACACAAAAACTCACATTATGAAATGTTTTTATTGTTTATTTTAATATTTATAAACAATTCAAAACATGCTGACTTTCAGGTTTAATTGGCAACAACTTTCTTGTTTATAAACATTTTTGAATTTAGAAAATCTCATTTTAAAGAGCAAGTATTTTTAAACAAGTCGTCTGTTGAACTTTTTATCTAAAATGCATAGTTTTTTCACAATATTGAAATGAATGTAAAAACCGCTTTTTTGCTTAAATTTAATGACGCAATAAACTTTTTTATTAACTTCTTCTAGATATTCCAGTTAAAAAATAGCGCCCAATAATTTTTCGATTTTTCGGCTTCATTTCATGGAATAATAAAATAGAAACAATTTATAAATTGAATTTAATTTAATTATTTATTTCTTAATATTGTTCTGAAGCTATTTTCTTGTGGCATTGTAAATTAATTACTATTAAGCCACAATTAAAGATAAAAATACGTTTATTGACGTTTCAATTTCCACTTCGGAAATCGTTCTCAAAATACAAACAGTAAATTAAACAAATTTTGTTTTTTGTTTTTTATTTATTTCTTTGAATAAAAAAGGAAACAAAAAACTAGTATTAAGTATTTGTTAATGTAGATAAGTGACTTATTGATTTATACAGTTGTATAATTGTTGTATTATTGTTTATTTAATATTAAGCTATATCCCTAACTTATTATACCTCGCATTATGCAGAATTGAGTTTTCCATTCAACAATACATAGTAGTTTCAACCATGTTCTACCATCCATCAATTAATAGAGTACCGGCATGTAAGTAATGTTTATTTATTTGCTCATTTATTAATTTATTACAATCTAATAGACTATTTTATAACAATTTGTGGGCCTTACCTTGTCTGTTTAAACTTTTAAAACTTTTTATACCTTTGTATTCAACTTACTCTTTTTGAAATAAAACCACAGACAACACCCTAATATGGGTTTTTATCATTTCAGCATTTATTTAACTTTGTATCGAGACCTGAAGATGCTTTGCATATTGTAGAAAGCGAAACCGGTCGTCTGATAGTTAAATTAAATTGATTGTGAGTAAGTCTTATTTATTATTTCTTTACCTATTCATAATTAAATTGATGAAATGGTAGATGAAATAATGAAGTATACCTAGTTCCATGAAGAGTGTTAAGACCTAATCGATTTAAAAGTTCAGGGCAATTTATCAAATTATTAACAATTTTGTAAAGGAATATTAGGCAAAAATAATCTTTTCGCCGATTCATAGAAACCATTTTTAAGTGATCAGCTATCATACTATAACTGTATGGGACAGAGAGGTCATGAAAAGCACTACAGTAATGATAGTGTTTACCAAATTTATGCTGAACACGATCAAGCTTGTCTATAGATGTTTGATAGTAAGGTCCCCATACAACTATTGCATATATTCAAGTCTGGAGCGAATGAGACTATTAAAAAGAATTGGTAAAACAAAACATGAAAATTGAGAAGTGTTTCTAGTTATAAACCCTAATTGTTTAAATGCACTGTTTACTGTGACCTCTAGATGCTTACGAAATGATAATTTGCACTTCATCAGTGTTAATGGGGTATACATGCTATGAGCCACCAAAATATAAGGGTCAAAACCCTTTAAATGTTACAAATTTCTAGATGTTTTACATGATTTATAATTACAAATTAGGATGTTTAAGTTACTGTTGGAAGGAATTGGTAACATGGCGACATATGACCCTATGTCATACACGTCGTACACTGTTAGGTAGATATATGTAATATCTTTCATAAAAATAGGTAGGCTTAGATGAGCTGGTCATGTGTCAAGATCAAATGAAAATTACAGACGAACTCTATTAACGGCACCAGTATGAATTTGAGGTAGAGGTAGACCAAGGCTAAGATGGAGAGATGGTGTGGGTGAGGATGCAAGGAAGATTGGCGCAGCAAACTGGCAATGGTTGGCAATGAACAGAAATGACTGGAGAAATGGACTGGGGAAGGCTGGTGCTCAACTAGGGCTGTAACATCACTGATGATGATGAAGAATGTTGACATTTTTTGTGAAGTTCATTGGGATCAGTTTATTGGGTTTTCAGAATAATGTGGACCTAACATTATGTTTTGAATTTGTTGTAGGGATAGTTGTGTACCTTTTTATGTTGGGTTTGTTAAATGTGATGCTCTGTGACATTGTTTTTTTTTTCATTTCTTAACATTTCAGCTTCCTATTTGTAAAAATCTTACAATGAAGTAAAAACTTTCTTTGTAAAACGGTATAATTTAAAAAAAAATTTATACCATTTTACAAAGGAAATTTTTACTTCACTGTAAGTTTTTTAAACTATGGTATACAGCCAAACACTGGAAATTTCCCATTTATACGTCCTATTTGCATTTTTCCTCGCTATTTCTATCTTTTTACTGTCACTAATTAACTATAAATCGATATTTAACTATTATCCTTAGCTAATTACAGAGAGTGGACTGATGTACATCCTTTCTCTATAGATGACAAAAGATTAATGCACTTTAAATTTTTGAAATCTTTTAATTTTTTTTTTAATTAAAAGATACTGAGACAAAAACAAGAAAATTTCCACAAATGAAACTTATTTGCATTCTAGTTACATAAAAGAATACAATTGGAGTAATGTAAGTGCAGAAGGTTTTCAAAAATCTGATTCTATGGTACAAAGGCTGATTATTGTTGGTTATAGCAATGAGAATAGTTTTGTGAAAGGTTCTTACCTGAGGTGGAAACTACAAACAAAAGGTAGAGACTTTGACAATCAAATGAATTCTAAGAACTGTTTGGTAGAAAAAATACTTGTAAGTAAATTTACTTTACTACCCAATAGTGTTATGATTGTTGAAAATGCACAATATCATAATAAACACGAGTACAAAGCTCCTACTATAAAGTAGTCAAAAAGAAGACATGAAAAGAGATAGAGATTAATGGATAGAAATATTTCATTTGATGATAACATGCTCCAATGTGACTTTTATGATTTGACAAAAGTCAATAAGCCCTGGTTTGTAATATATGTTATTGATCTTATCACAGGACAATATTGCCATGAGGTATTAAGACTGCCATCTTATCATCCTGTATTATCTCAAAGAAAGTCACCGCTTCTATCTTAACACATTTTTCATGAAAATAAAACAATGTAAAAAGAAATGCAGCAATAGGTAGAAATAGGGATAGATAATGAAGTCAGCCTGAAATGTTCAAAGGAAAACTATAAAAAACTAAAGAAACTTTAGTTTGTTAGTTTTTTTTTTAGTTAATTAGTTTCTCCAAACACAATCAAAGCAGGAAAATATACGTAAAAGTAAAATTTATCATTCTAGAGGTTCATTAGAGTGAGATCTCTTAATTTGGAATAATTAACTAATCTAGGAAAACATACCAGAAAATATGTCCATCCTTCTTAAATGTCCAACAATTTGTAGACACTTTGGAAGTGAAATATCTTGCCTAAGTTGTGACAGTAACTGATGCAGCATAAGAATCCAGGCTTTGTTCACATCATCATTAATATTCTTGAATATTGCAACATCAGAATGCTTAAAGGATAACTTCCTTACATAATTGAACAGTTCTAAAGCATCTTCATACAGGCCATCCCTAATAAATGAATTCATCAACTGTGGTATTTCTAGTATTTCTAATATTTGAGCACTTTTCGCTAAAGTTATGGAATCTATCCTTCGAAGGGCATTTATTTTGCTAGATACCTCCCCAAATGTTTCGCATTTTTCCTCGAATATCGGAACACCTCCAAGAAGATCGTTTACTTTGTCTTCTATAACACTAAATTTTGTAAATAAATCTTTGGAACACAGTGCAGTTTCTATAAACGTTTTGTAGTTTGTAATTGCTAACTCCTGAATTTGTTCTTGTAAAACCAAAGCTTCTTGCTTCAATTTATCGGGTTCAGTATTTAAATCTTTAATTTTGTAAGTGCCTAGTTTCGTTAAATAATCTTGAATTGGCGGATTATAAACCAATTCATCTGTTGACTCGCTAGGAAAAAGGGTAGCAAGAAGAGAATTTCTCGACATATTACTTAAACTAAACTGAAACTTTAAATTGAAAGAACTTGTTAAAACTTTTTAGCAAATATTTAACATTTTGATTATTATTATTACTATTAGCCTTGTTGTGTTGACATATATCACACGTGGCCAATCACCTGTACAACGTTGTCATATTTGCAATATGACAAAATGTCAAAAACTTGGTGCAATCCAATGACGTAAATTATTATTACATACATATATATTATTATTATTATTATTATATACATATATAATACGTCATTGGTGCACCCCGTACACATCGTTCCGAATTACTACACTAATACCAAAAGAGTTTTTATCCAACTACTAAGTTGAACATCATGCATTTACAACATTGGCCTAAATTGGACCGATTGGCTAGATCAACGCATCCTTTTCAACATTCCACTTATTTGCCATGTTCAAAGTTATGAGACAAGTTGGTTGCTTTTCTTTGCATGGACCAAATTCAAGATATTTTAACTGATTTTATTATAAATATTTATGTTTCTTATTACTTTCCAGGCTATTATATTCTAAAACGTCGAAATCAACGTATTTTGAATTAAAATTGTGGTTAATTCCTATTAAAAATACTAGAAATATTATTGTGGAGATAATTCCAGACTAATTAGTCTTAATCCAGTTTTTAAAATATGTCTATCCTTGTATTCTCTTGATGTTATTCGCATGTTTCGTCCGGGCCACAGAATAAGAAAGCAATTGTTATTTGTTTGTAACCGGACTTTGTAACCTAATAAAAATTTTTTTATGTTTCTTTAGTCCATATTGTGATAGGATCTTCCACATTTGATTCTTACTTACTGGGCTGAACAGATTCTAGTCCTTTAAAATGTAATTAAGCAAATCAATCGTAAAAAATGTATTGTGATTGTGTCTATTATCACATGATCTTTTCTTTTATAAGAATGGAAAATCGTAGAAGAAAGTTAACAACATATATAAATAAATATTTATAAACTATTGAAAAAATATCACGATTTCATTGGCAACATCGCCTGTACCTATCATCTGTCAATTGTCAATGCATGTCAATGTTTCTCTTTGACTTTTCATTAATCTAGAATTCATTCTTTTTATGTTCGGAGGTTGAAAAGTAAGTATGGATAAAGTAATTTTGTAATTTTTACATGCGATATACTAAATTAAATCTCAAATATTACTAATAAATCATAATATTCATTATTAATTTAACGATTACGTTGATATTTTCAGATTTAAATATTTTAGGTTAAGTTTTTATTTTACACATGCAACTTTTTACTCACTTCAGATATTTTTGTAGTAAAACCTCAAAATGGTAAACGGTAGGATACCGTCGGTTCATTCAAAAACCTATGTAACGCCTAGGCGTCCATATGAGAAGGCCCGTTTAGATCAAGAATTAAAAATCATTGGAGCCTTCGGTCTTCGTAACAAACGTGAAGTATGGAGAGTGAAATATACTCTGGCCAAAATCCGTAAGGCTGCCAGAGAACTGCTTACTCTAGAAGAGAAGGATCCCAAAAGGTTGTTTGAAGGTAAGTTTTTACTACAAATTGTACAATGTGCTTTAGTGAGTTGTGTGTTATGTTTAAACTTTTTTTAGGTAATGCACTCCTGCGTCGATTGGTCCGTATCGGAGTACTAGACGAGAACAGAATGAAGCTCGATTATGTATTGGGTCTCAAGATTGAAGATTTCTTGGAAAGACGTCTACAGACACAAGTCTTCAAATCTGGTCTAGCTAAGTCAATCCATCATGCTAGGGTATTGATCAGACAACGTCACATCCGGTAATATTTATTCTGATGGTTATTTGTATAAGAAAACAATTCGTGTTTAATACATGTTTCTAAAAGGCCACTTAGTCAAATGACTAACGTCTTTTTGTTTGTAACAATGATTAGAAGGTGTCAGGTAATTTATAACATTTTATACAGACAAATGTGCTTAAAATTGCAAAATACAGCCAACACAACTATTGGTTTTTAACCTATTTTTATGTATATTAGATCTTTCTGCAGATCATAGGGTTAAATCCCATTGTATGGAACTGGATAAATGAGGGTGTATGTAAATGTAGTTAATGTAGTATATTAACTGTTCAAAACTACATTAATTTTTTATGAATAAATTTTTACCAATTTAAGTTAATCAAAAAGCTTTAAGGAAAAAACACTTGCTTCAAGATTCCTTAATGTTTTATATAAGGTATAAAATTGCAGAATTCATAAAATAATATAATAAAAATGTACATTTTAAAAGCTTTATCTCTTTGTATTTGAAGCATATAACATACATTATAAGGATATGGCAACACTTCCAACACAAAATTTTGTTACATGAAACTTACTTGACAGCTAATTTGAGGCTCTCTTCACTGTGACCAAATGTGAAAAATGTCACACATTTTTTGAAGCATGTTACATAACATTCAGTATTTTTGAAAAAGAAACTGCTATTATTTTTTGTCCATATAATAGGATTTAACATTATATAGAGAGAGAGAGAGAGATAATGTTACAAGCAATGCCCAAAATTGGCCAATCCTAGCTTTGTACAGAAAATACTGTGTACTTTTAGCATCATACCTCCAAACTGTACAATGTCTGAAATGGTCAAAGTTAAAAAATGATTGTTGAAATGCTCATCAGTTTGAATCAATTATTATTGACAAGTGACATTTCAAATCAAAAATCTAATATTTGTGGTAAATATATTTTCTATTTATATAATATATGAGTTCTATAAAATGCCATGTATAAATTAAAAATCTCTGGAGATATTTTAAATGGATTGGTAGATTATTCTAAGGGTATATTCATTACAGAGACCATCGCATCATTATCATTGCCTAGAGCATAGCACTGACAGTGAAAGCTTGAATTTAAAATAAAATGCATTTATTTTACTTATGGTCTAATCTTTGATGGTGAATGTAATACATTTATTTTACTTGGCGATGATACTAGGATACTATCCTATTGTCAGACCAAGGGTTGGCACATTGTTATGAATGCACACTAAGAATAATACATCTGAAATTTCAGAGATTATTCAGTAAAGGGACTATCCACTATAAGTGGACAAGATGTTTCTATACAATGCTAGGATTGTCAAATTTAGGTCATTGATAACATACATTAAAAAATGAGTGATTTACTGTTTTGTTCTCAATTTTTTTTAGTTTTCATCATCCATATAAAGTATTTCGTAATTCTAATGATGTCTTCATATGTAGTTATTCTCATGTAATGCATAATTATTTTCAGTAAATCTTTATTATTAATATTAATTATTAATGCAATTCAAATTAGTCTGAAATTTTAACAGTGGATTGTGGTTTACTTTTTATCACTTAGCTATAGTGAGCTATAGTTTTTCTGCATTTTTCATTCAAAAGATCAGTTTCAAATTGCATCTGCCATTATAGCTGCTGTCAATGATGTGTGTGTGTGTGTGTGTGTGTGTGTGTGTGTGTGTGTGTGTGTGTGTGTGTGTGTGTGTGTGTGTGTGTGTGTGTGTGTGTGTGTGTGTGTGTGTGTGTGTGTGTGTGTGTGTGTGTGTGTGTGTGTGTGTGTGTGTGTGTGTGTGTGTGTGTGTGTGTGTGTGTGTGTGTGTGTGTGTGTGTGTGTGTGTGTGCGTGCGTGCGTGCGTGCGTGCGTGCGTGCGTGCGTGCGTGCGTGCGTGCATACTTTTTGAACCCATGTGGCCTTTTCAAAAGTATTGTTTATTGTGATAATACTTATTTGATTAGATATTTCATTGCACACATAAATCTGACTTCTTTATTCAAATTGAATGAATTTTGACCATTTTATATTGTATATTTTTGTATGAATTGAATTTAATGTGAGAAAATAATTGGTATTTACCATTTGTTTATACATTTTATACAACTACAACCTCTTTGAGTTAACTCTTTCAGTCACTGTGTCATCAATTGACGGCACAAGAATTTTTAACTTTGTTTAAGTAAATATTACAATTAGTCACAATGTTGTCAATTGGCAAAATTAAAAACTGGTCCTCTTTTAATTTAAAAAATGCTAATGTTCCTACCAAAAGACATTAGGAATACCATAACTGGGAATATGTAGGAATTATAACAAAATATATTTCATTACACTAAAAAAAGCCTGACCGAAAGGGTTAATGTGTTTTCTGTAGCTTGGTAGTGTGATCCCTAGATATTTAAACTCACTTATTAATTACTTGTTATAACCATGCATTTTGTCTTTTGTGTTAATTAATATGTTAAATTGCTTTCATTTATATTAAATTGGTGCAGAAATTATTGTAAATCATCCCCTTTGAGAGATTTAAGTATTGAGTTCTCTGTAACCAGATTATAAACTTCTTTTTCTCTAATTTGGTATAGTTCTTTTGTTTTTACTTTTTTTTTATTTAATCCATTAGTAGTTTGAACAACAGAAGACTTTGGGAATCCCTCTGTCTTATCCATTGCTATCTTTAATTTGGTACAGTTAGTTGTTCTATTTTTATTGTGTTCTAGTAGTTCTTCTAGATATTTTTGATCTGTCTGGCTTGCAATGAGTGGATACATCCTTTAATTTGACTCTGTCAAATGTCATCTTAAGGTCCATGAAACATAAGTGCATGCCAGTTTGTTGTATTCTAGTGATTTCTCTTGCACTTGCCTAATATAGTGTCAGTGCATTATCTTTCCCACCTAAAACCTCGTTTTTCTTCTGCTAGAGTGATATAATTTCATTCATATTTGCTATCACAATTATTTTCTTCTATATTTGGCAAGATATTAAATAATTTGTTTCTTAAACATTGGCTTTGTCAAACTGTGATCCTCTTTCTGGAGAAATATTTTTATTCCATTCTGATTTCCTTTGATTATTGTTTTTGTTTGGTCAGTTATGGATAGTAAATATATTCACCATTTGACTTGATTATATACTAGATAATGTTTAAAAAAACAAAACCTTCAAATTTAATTGTCTGGTTATATACCCAGTACTTACCTCGAATTAAATTTATATTACAGAGTCCGCAAGCAAGTGGTGAACATTCCCTCCTTCATCGTCCGTTTAGATTCACAAAAACACATTGACTTCTCTCTAAAATCACCTTTGGGAGGTGGTCGTCCAGGACGTGTTAAGAGGAAGAACCTCACCAAGAAGAGCGGTGGTGGAGGTGCAGCTGAAGAAGAGGAAGACTAAGCTGTATGTCATACTAGTTGTACTAGTACTTACATATTAATATACTTATGTATTAAGTTTGTAGTTTGATTTTATCTTTTATTCCTATTCCCACAATTGGATGGTGTTATGCAAAACAGAGACAACTCACACATCTGATTTTGAGATAAATAGCTTCTAAGTTTATAATCTATTGCAAATCATACATTTTATTGTAGTATAGCTATGATATATCAATTATCATTAAAATTTGAAATTATTTTTTCAACATTAAAAAAATACCAACTTCTGTGTAAAAAAATTCAAAATAATAAAATATTGTGAGGTTTTCTATTTTCAAACAAATTAGAACTGTTTTGACAGTCAAAATATTTTCCAAATTTAGTCAAAAATAATGTTCAACAATTATATAGCGAATTGAGAATGCTTCTAAATTTGAATTTAACTCATAATAGTAACGGCAACTTGATGTTAGAGTTTGAGAAGCAGGAAAAAAAAATTAAATTGGGTAGTGGAGAACACAAATTAGGAGTTTATCCAATTTTGTTTTTTAATTGATTACGTCTTACACATTCTAACTGTTCAGATAGTTTGAATTACCAGGTTGATCTTTGAGGGCCACTTTGGTTCAGTTCCCAGGTGTGTTTTCCGCATCGGATTCATGTCTTTTGAGAACGTTAAAAACTAATTAATATAAATAAATACGGTATATGGGAAAAATATGTACAAATTTAAATAATTCAGTAAAATTGGAATAGTTAAAATAAATTTCGTGGATATAAAATAACTCATAGGTGGGCTGTATATGGACCCACCTTCGTTTTCTAAAAAGTCTATTTTATTTTTTTTTTGGCGTATTTTATGAGTTCCCCTTCCGTATACACGGGCTCGGTAGGACGGACAAGCCATCCTATACCCTTCTTTGCACACCGAGCAGTACAGTTTGCGACTGTATGCCTCGTTTTTAAACAATTATAGCAGCACGCCGCCCTTCTCTCTTCTTTGCATTCGAATTTATTGTGCCCGAACTTAAGGTACTTGTACTTATAGCATCTAACTGGGTTGTGTATCCATTATTGGACACTCAACCCATCCTATTTTTATTGTACTGTACCTCTTCTGCCCTGGAGGGGCGTACGGCTATTGTAGCCACCTGTTCCCCATATCTGTTGGCTCTTAGAGCCTTAACCATAGATAAATAATATAGAAATAGATAGGCAACTCATGTATAAATTTCGTTCATTAGGACCCCTTGCGGCTGGGGTGTATACTAATCATCTTTTGGCGGCAAATTCGAATGGACACCCCTTACATACATAACCTTTAGCGCCTCTTGCGGGCTATTTCTTTACTAATTAAAATTTTGCACAATTTTTTCTAGATACAGGTATATTTATTTTTTAAGATAAAATATAATATATTTAAATATAAAATATATATTACACATATTTTCAGAAGTTAAATACTATTATTTTTTGCTTCCTTCCTGACAACTTACTGTCATCATGCTTTTTCTAATTTGTCCATGGTTTGTACACAACGGAACAATACAATAATTCACCATGTTAGTTTTTTTATTGTTTTCTTGTCTTGAAGTGAAAATCAATTACTTATAAGAGTAGCCTCAGTGTAATTATATATATATAATATATATATATATATATATATATATATATATATATATATATATATATATATATATATATATATATATATATATATATATATATATATATATATATATATATATATATATATATATATATATATATATATATATATATATATATATATATATATATATATACAGTGTAGGAAAAATTTTATGGTCGGTATGGTAAAATTTAACAGGATATCTAACGCAGATATAAAATCATATTTTCAGCGAATAGACAAAGATAGCAATCATATTTCCCCTTGGTCTCCCCTCCTCAAATATTTTTAACACCTATTGGCCATTAGTGAGACGAATAGTTCCGATCAGAGATATTTTACATATTCTCTGGTTCCGATCCTAATATACCTAAAAAAGTAGAGGTGGGTCCTCCCGTTTTTTAAATTTTTGTCGGAACCGTTTTTCGTAAATTGTAACTAGTTGATTCAAATTAGCGAGTACACAAACATATTGGCTATTATCGTTTATGTGTATAAGTATTGAAGTGAAAGAACCTAACGAAGGATATATTTATTATAACTTGAAAAATAAATTAAACAATACAAATAGTACTTACATTTACATTAAATCGTACTTACATTTACATTACACGTTATTATTAAATCGCGAATCGTCTAAATTGACATTTAAAAACAAGTTTTTCTACTTTTTGTTAACCGTGTTCTTCTTTTATTTAAAATTAAACCAGATTTTAAACATGTGTTCACAAGGAAAAGATTTTGTTACAATTCTACAATATTTTATTAATATAGTGGCTAAGTTAGGATATACATGGCGATGGTTTTTCCACCACGGTAATGGACAGTTCCAATCTCCGTTCGAAATTTATTGTGGGTAATATATTATCAGACAAATACATGTCGACTTCTTGTATATCTCTCGATACAGTTGTATGTTTAGATGAGTCATGTCCAATTAATTCATCAAAAATACACAATGGACCTAAGTCATCTTTATCAGTTTCTTTTTCTTGACTAAACTTATTGATTTACTAAACTTATGCAAAGACTCGTTTCATCCGTTTTCTATAGGTGAAGAACCAGCTTTTAAAAAGTTTGCAGGGTGGATTCCTGGATATAAACCGCCAACAAGAAAAATTGTTAGATTCATTACTACAGGAATGTTATGTCAAAACTGATTTGATAATAGATAAAATAAAAAGTACTTTTTTCGACAATTCTGCAAAAAACATTAAAAAAAAGTACCTTATCTTCAGAAAGGCTTTTAAAGTATTAATTACAACATAACAAAGTTCCCAAACGGCCAATCCAAGACGTGGAAACTAGGTAGAACTTCACCTATTACAGGTTAAAAAGAATGACTGAGTTAGAAGAGGCAATCCGTTTCACTTCTTCTTCTTTAAGTTCCATCTTCTATCGAAGGTTGGAAATCATCATGGCTATGCCGACTCTGTTGACTGCCGCTCTAAAAAGGTCTGTACTACTGCATTCAAACCATTCCCTTAAGTTCTTAAGCCAGGATATTTTTCGTCTTCCCACATTTCGCTTTTCTCGGATTTTGCCCTGCATAATAAGTTGTAATAATGCGTATTTTTGCCCTCTCATCACATGTCCCAAGTACTCAAGTTTTCGTCTTTTAATAGTTAATATTATTTCTGCCTCATTTCCTATCCTTCTAGTTACTTCAATGTTTGACATTTTTTGAATCCATGATATTCGTAGGATTCTTCTGTAACACCAAAATTCAAAGGCGGCCAACTTATTCAGATGAACTTGTTTTGGTGTCCAAGCTTTCAGACCATAAAGAAGAGTAGAGAACACGTAACATCGAAGCATTCTCAGGTGTAGTTCTAACCTTATATCCCGACAACAAAGAAACTTTTTAAGTTTAATAAATGATGTACGTGCTATTTCAATACGTGTCTTAATTTCTTTGGTTTGGTCTACATCTGATGTTATCCATGTTCCTAAGTATTTATAGTTATTAATACTCTTAATTGCAGTATCTTCAATAGTCAATTGGATATTTGTGCAGATTTAGTCATGATCATGCATTTAGTTTTCTTTAAATTTATCTTCAGTCCGTACTCATGACAGTGTTCATTAAGGCGTTGCATTAGGTTCTGTAAATCATTGTTGTTATCCGTAATTATTACTGTATCGTCTGCAAAACGTAAGTTATTCAAAACTTTTCCATTGATAGATATACCTTCTATTGAGTCTGAGAGCGCTTCTTGAAATACCGCTTCACTGTAGACATTGAAAAGTAGTGGGGACAGCACGCAACCCTGGCGGACTCCTCTCTGTATTTTGATATTTTCGGTGTACTGGCGTGTATTTCCGTTCCACATCGGTATTAAATAATACAGACTTAGACTTAGACCAAATCTAAATAATGAAGACTAGATTATTTTTTCGTAATTGTCCCAAATTTTACGGTCTTTTAAAGAAATAACAAGTACAATGAGTGGCCAAAAATACTTGAATGATAGTTCAGTGATTGTTCTGGTACCCTGCCTGCAAAAATCTTGCAATAAAATTTTAGCAAACAGTAACCTTACATCCATAGTATCCGACGTAGTACGGGTTTTTATTACTAATTACGGGATAATTACTAATCTCTTTTTTAGCAAAAAGATTTAGAGGGATAGAATACAGTGGCATATTGTCATTATGTACGTTTATGGATTCACGATTTCAAGTGCAGGGATTTTCTGATAAAAATGACGCTAAAAAAAACAAAAGAAAGAGTTAAGAAGCTGGTTACTTCTATAATTAAAGAACAAGAAGATTATACTATTGAAAATCAACCAGTATAAGAAAAAGAAACCGATAAAGATGACTTAAGTCCACGGTGTATTTTTGATCAATTAATTGGACATGACTCATCTAAACGTACACCTGTAGCGAGAGTCCATTACAATGGTGGAAAAATCATCGCCATGTATCTCCTAACTTAACCACTATATTCATAAAGTATTGTAAATGTGAACACATGTACAAAATCAGGTTTAATTTTAAATAAAAGAAAAACACGGTTAATAAGAAGTAAAGTACAAAAACTTATGTTTTTAAATGTCAATTTAGGCGATTCGTGATTTAATAATAACGTGTAATGTAAACGTAGGTACGATTTACTATTTGTATTGTTTAGTTTTCAAATTATAATAAAATCTTTTATTAGTTTCCTTCACTTCAATAAATATACACATAAACGATAATAGCCATTATGTTTGTTTATGTAGGTAGTTTTTTACTTGAAACTACTATTAAAAAATCATAGTTACTTGTTTACGAAAATCGGTTTTGCGACGTCAATGACCCACCTCTATTCGTAAATACCTGTGTACCCCTTGATTCGGTGATTTGACCACGCAACACGCCACGTTGGCAAATAGTTTTGTACGAAGCTTTTTTATTTATATGCAGTTTAATATTTT